GAAATTTTACAGAATATTAATGTTGACAATTGAAGTGGGTGCAGATGAACTTGATGCATTCTAACCTCACTGTTTACTTTATGAGGTAATACATAAATTGATTTTCTCATAAAGCTGGAAGAAATTGTGTTTTTCTTTTATCAGCAATTAGATTGAAGTTTTTATTCAATCTACCCCTTTTAGGAGTTAAAAGGTAAGCTGGGTTTTCTGCCTTGATAAACTTTATCTGATATTGCTGAAATGAAGAGCCTATTGAAATTCTCAATGAAAAACAACAAAAACATCATTTTTTCTAGGCCATTTCTTAAATTTCTTAATCAAGCCTAAGAAATGTTTATTTATTTTCGAGATAAGTTACAATCTTTAGCACATGAATGGAAAGCTATTACTTGTGTAGCTTGGATGAGGGGCATTTTGTATTTATTAAAACTTTGTAATGAAAGAAACTGTTTAGTGTCTCTAATATTTAAGTAGATGTGATGAATTATTCAGCACCTACCCTACCTTGAATTTATAAACTCTGATTTTGTATGTGAACTATTCTTTTACATTGCAGCAAACCATGTAGTTCATTTGAGAGTTGTCTTGAAAAGTTTAAATTCTTGTTAAAATCAAAATTTTAATTTCACAAAATGGAAATACTCAACTGTGTGGTAAACATAGTAAAGGAATAAAGTGATTGTTTTGTAAATTCAGAGTTGATATAACAACTAATACTAGTGAATTCAACCTCTGATTTTACCAACGTTTTATAAAAATTATTAATAAAATAATTCAATGAACTGGCTTGTAAATTGTTCAGTTTCTGATATAAGAGTTTATATATTAAAATTTTATGAAGCTTTTAGGACCAAAACTTCACAAATGTTTACTTCTCCACATTAAAAAATGAAATGTATATGGGACAAGTGTTTGCAGTGTTTCTTATTCATTAGATTTAAGACACATTTACGATCACAAATACACATAAATTAAAAATACATACTCAACAGATGTTTAGATAATTCAGTTAACTGGAATGTGTCAGTATCAGCTATGATAAAGACTGAAAGGAAAAATAAATTAGATTGTGATGAGGTGATAGAATAGTGAAAGCCTACTGCAGAAGAAATTCCTTTCTAACAACCATTCTATGTTTAGCTATTGAGGAAATAATCAGGATGTTGATATTTGGGAACATATAATGTGTCATTCAAAGGTTAGTAAAATTAATACATAATTATGAAAAATAAAATTTTAATGCATGTGCTATTAGGAATAGTTTTAAAATTTAACTGTAATACAATTTCTAAAATTTTTCATCAGATTTTTAGTTATTTTGTTTAAAACTAATAACATTGAAACAGAAGAAAACTAGTCTGGAATAAAACAAACATTATAATATTTTTTCAGAAATTTATTTTTTAATTACAAACTCAAAGTAATCAAATTGGGTTGTTGCCTGTAGTGCAGTAAGTACTATGCCCACTTTTTGTTGCTGTTGTTGAAATGGATGCCACTAAATAGTAAATATATTCTCTTGAATATGGTTTTTACAAAATAAATTAATTTGCAAACCTGTTATAGCGATGAAAAAGTTAAATTTCCTCTATTCCTGAATAAGTTGTAAATTAATGGGATTGGAGTTTAGGAAGAAACATCTTGTTTTTTTACTTTGAAAAAATTGTGTGCTTGAGCATTATTTCGAGTTGGCAGAAGTCAACTGGAACCTTTGTACTGTTGCCTGGGGTGACATTCCCTCCTTATTGCACTGAGGAAGATGGCAGCTTTCAGTCACACACATCTGCAGCACGCACCTTAGCAAACCTGGTGGGAAGCATGCAAGAGTGCCTGTGAAATATGAGTACCCTTGAACCTGTCCCTATTTTATCTTACAAAAAAAAAATTGCAACCTACTTCACAGTTCATAGCCATACAGAAGGTGCTGGGAGAAATGAGCCTATGTTATTGATTTTAAAAAAATAAATAAGCTGAGCAGTTTTATATTCGTTCCAACCACAAAGGTTCAATTTGCTTTCCACACTCATTCTTGTGGACCAGTAGCAGCTGAGATTGCTGCTGTGGGGTGAGCCCGTCATGGCGGAAAGCTGTTGAACACTCGATAAAAGCAAAGAGAACATTTTATAGATATCTACAACTGCAATGTTTCAAAAACCGGCCAAGTCAGAAGTCAAAGAAATTCCCTTTTCTTTTTTTTTTTCTTTTTTTTTTTTTTGACTGCTTGTTAAATATAGATTCCCAGACCAAGAACAGACCTGCTGAATTAGAATCCACAGTGCAGAGACCTGGACTTGGTGTTTTTCCCCAGGCCGTCCAGAATGATCGGGCCAGGTGGGGAAACTGGTGGTAATTCTCTCTCACTTGGCAGAGCAGCTAATGACAGTTAAAGCCTTCAGTTACCATCCTATTTTCCTCCTTTCACACTTTGAGCTTTAGGATGCAGCTGCTGCTACAGAGAACACCGGAGATGCACAGGTAACGCGTGAGTCATGCCTAGTTAACACTCTACAGTTTGTAGTACTCTGGTGGCAACTGCCTTTGAAATCAATTGCCTTTGAAATCAATTGCCTTTGATTGTAAGGTGGATGCTGTCTCTTAGGTCGGGCTCATACAACAGAGTATCATTGGCTGGCGGTTTTATAAACAAGGGGCTCATTCCTCGCAGTTGTGGAGGGTAGGGAGTCCAAGGTCAAGGTGCCTGTAGATTCACAGTTTGGTGAGAGTCCACTTTCTGGTTCACAGACAGCCCTATATTCTCTCTGTGACTTCATTTAGCAGAAAGGACGGGGGACACTCTGAAATCTCTTTTCTAAAGGTGCTAATCCCATTCATGGCAGCGCCACCCTCGTCACCTCATCACCTCATCACCTGCCAAAGGCCCGCCTTCCCAATATCATCACATTGGAGGTTAGGTTTCGACATAGAGATTTTTAAGGGGGGCGCAATAGTACGCAACTTGCTCTATCACACTAAAGCCTGGAAACCAATTTGAATCAGTCTCAGAACACAATCAGGATACATGATACTGTGTTTTATTTGTCTGTGTTTTGTATGAAAGTGGTTAGCTTCTCCTCAGGCATTATGGGATATTCATGACACAGTTCCATTTCACCAGCTCTCCCTGCACCTCGGCTTTTTATTATTTCATTTTATTCTACTATTGTTTCATCTCTTTTGATAATCACTGGTTTTATTGCTGAATTATTATATGGTTCTTTTACAACCCAATTAAAAATAACTGTAAGATTGGGGTTTGGGGAGATAATTTTATTGGTTTACTTTATAATTAATTATATATTGATATAGCCCAGTATTATATTTAGGCTAATCATAAAATATAATTACTGGTATATTCAAGGTGGTCCACTGCTACCTAAAGCTATCATTTTGAAATATGACATTTACTTGCTGATTACTAAAGCCTTCCTTAATTTGTGGATGAATTATTCTCTGTTCTTTCTGTGGAGAAATTGATTTGGAAGAATCAGTTAAGTAAGAAAAGAAAACGTCCCACTGTAAAGACTTTAAAAATAAGATGATAAAAAATAGGAGATCTGAGATGGTGGCGGAGTAGGTGGAAGGTAGACTCACCTCCCTGGACCAAACTGAACTTACAACTAAATTGCAGAACAATCAAACTGATAACCCATTGAAGTCTAGTGGCATGGAGTTTTCTCAAGAAAATCAAAATGGACCTGCCTTGTGACCCAGCAATTCCACTTCTGGGAATTTATCCAAAAAAACCTGAAACACGAATTCAAAAAACTCTAAGTGCCCCTATGTTTATTGCAGCATTATTTACAGTCTCCGAGTTTTGGAAGCCGTCCGTGTCCATCAGTAGATGGGTATTAAAAAAGCAATGGTATAGATGCACAATGGAATACTGCCTGGCTGGAAAAGAGAGAAGGAAATCTTACCCTTTTCGACCTCATTGATATACCTGGAGAGTATTATGCTAAGGGAAATAAGCCAGTCAGGCAAAGAAAAGTACAGTATAATTTCACTCATACATGTAACCTAATGAACAAAATAAACCAGCAAAATAGAAAGAGACTCATAGAGACAGAGAATAGACTGACAGTTGCCAGAGGGGCAGAGGTTTGGGGGGCTGGATGAAAAAGGTGAAAGGATTAAGCAGAAAAACAATCATAGACACAGACTGCTGTATGGTGATTACCAGGCGGGAAGGGGCGTTGGGAGAGTTAGAAGAGGGAATAGGGGGTAAATGGTGATGGAAGGAGACTCGACTCAGGTGGTGAATACAAAATACAATATACAGTTGATGCACTATCAGATTGTATGCCTGAAACCTACACAATTTTATTAACCAGTATCATCCCAGTAAATTCAATAAATAAACTGATAGAAACAACAGAAGATAGTTGAAAAGATGGTCTCCCAATTATTTATTTTCATCACTTAATGCTACCCAGGACTTCCCCACTGGCTAAACAAGTTTTGAGAATTTAGGAGTTTAATCACAAAATGTTTTACTTTCTTTTTAATTTGAACTACTAGGGGGTCTGAAGTCTGTCACGCTTCCCTTTGGGAATTTAGCCTCTCTTTGGAGTGACTAGTGCATTATCTACTAGTTTTTCTTCTGGAAAAAAAACAAACAAACTGAAAAAAATAGTGAACTGATGGTGGGAAATTCTTTTCTCAGTGACACTGTTTTTCTATTATTAGTGGGTTATGAATCACTATGGAATAAAATTAGAAAATGCCATACATCTTTATTCTTCTTTATTTCTATACTTTTTAAAGGTATTTGATTCTGGCAATGCATTTCTTGAAAACAAGTGTGCTGTGTGTAATTGCTCACTGTTGACCAGCCATTATCCTTGGAAAGCTAAATTGGGTTTGAAAGCTAAATTAGTGTGTAAACTAATCCTTAGGTTAGTTTCAACGAATTAAGCTCATTTACTGCCTGGAGCAGATGGATGAACAGTTATAACATGAATACTAAGCTTTTCCATCCTTTACCTTTGCTTCTGTTGCAGAAACCCTTGAAACTCTCATCAGACAAGCAGAAAATTACACCAGTATACTTTTTTGCAACACGTACAGGAACATGGCCTTAGAGGCTGCTGCTTCAGTTCAAGAGTTCTTCACTGATGTAGGGCTCTATTTATTTGGGGCAGATGTTAGTCCCGAAGAGTTTGTGAACAGATTCTTTGACAGTCTTTTCCCTCTAGTCTACAATCATCTCATTAACCCTGGCGTGACTGACAGTTCCCTGGAATACTCGGAATGCATCCGGACGGCTCGCCGGGACGTTAGTCCGTTTGGTAATATCCCCCAAAGAGTGATGGCGCAGATGGGGAGGTCGCTGCTGCCCAGCCGCACATTTCTGCAGGCCCTGAATCTGGGCATTGAAGTCATCAATACCACAGACCACCTGCACTTCTCCAAAGAGTGCGGCAGAGGCCTCCTGAGGATGCAGTACTGCCCGCACTGCCAGGGCCTGATGCTCAGCAAGCCTTGTATGGGGTACTGCCTCAACGTCGTGAGGGGCTGCTTGGCGCACATGGCCGAGCTTGATCCACACTGGCATGCGTACATCCGCTCGTTGGAAGAGCTTTCAGATGCCATGCGTGGAACATATGACATTGAACACGTGCTCCTGAACTTCCACTTGCTTGTGAATGATGCTGTGCTGCAGGCACACCTGGATGGACAAAAATTATCGGAACAGGTAAGCAGCCACTCTGTATTTACTGTCTGACTTTTTAGAACTCCGAGATTAGCCATATATTGAAGGTTTGTTGATTAAAAGCACCTGATTGTGTACTTTGAAATTATGGAAGCCTAACAATATTACTTTTTTCTTTCTCTGTTCTGAAACCAGCACTGAGCAAACTTCAGTGAAGCATGTTACTTTAATATCCAAAGAATCAGAATCATCAGTGTGCTGTATTTTATAAATAAGTTTTAAACAAAACTTTTATCATATGAAACTCTATGGTGGATTGACAATGAGCATTCTTTTCTCAAGTAAATTGGTTTAATATCATAAACAGTCCTGTGACTATCTTAATAAATATCAATTATTACTAAAAAAAGTGTAGATTCTTTTGTAAATAAAAAAACCCCCTAAGATTCCTTTTTTAACTTATGGTGACAGAAGAAGAAACTGATTTTAAATTCCTTTAAAACTGATTCATTAATATTTATCTCTGCCAACTTCAAAGTGATTTATAAGCTGTTTATCAAGCTTTGATAACCAGTTCACACATCAATGAATTTAACAAATTCAAAATAAAGTGCTATAAAGGCAGCAAGTAATGACTTTCTCACATTCCAAAACAATCTCTGAGATCAGTATTTCCAAGTCTAGTCTCAGTAAATACATATTTCCACTTTAAGAAATCCATAGAGGTATGTGATATATCATATTTCTGTTGGATGAATTTCAACTGGAAAAAATGTTCTCAATTTCCTGAGAAAATCTAAAGCATTTTCTATTTAAACCATTAGAGAAACACATGCCTGATGATATCTGAATCCTTCATCTTTTTGGAAATTTGCCCTTTGCAAATGTGGATCATGGGAGGGCAGGGGAGAGAAGAAGTCCCATTTGGCCCTTTGATAACCTCTCCTGAGCCTGAAATGATTGGCAGTGGTGAGGGCCAATAAAGACCTACGTACTTCACGTGGTATGTCTAATTTTTTAGGAACCTGTTAGATAACAAGCTTGCATAATTTTTGAATAAATATTTTGTAAGACTTTTAAAACGTTACATGATTAATTTGTGATTTTATCTTCCTGAGAAGTATTGTGGTATGAATTACTTGAGAATAATTACTGACAACCATAATTCCTTATGTATACCTAATTTCCTAAGTGAGGGAAATTTATTAAATGTCTTATGGTCTGAAGGCCTATAATGGGCACCTGGACAAAGACCTCCCAGAAGAGTGGGCCATCGAGTTTGTGGACAGCTATCATTGACAAGTTCATCTTTACAATGAATGAGTATCTGTATCCTGAACTGCCATGTATGGTACTCAAGAATGTAATGCTTTGAATATAGGAAATAAGTCTTAGCCATTTTGGACTTCAGGTATTTGAAAGCTATTATTCTGCCTTTTGGCCTGATATCTTCTGTCTAGGCAATTCACTCCTATTTTATTCAATTCTTCGATATGTGCTTTCTTTGTAAGATCGCTGCTTGAACCATGCAGCTCTGTCTTGTTCTTCTGGAGGATGTGCTGAGTCAGGGTGGAGTCAGCCCGATTGGAGGGGTCACGGGGCGCGAGAGCTCCGGGACGCCAGGCGCGGGTCTTTCATTCCCTCGCCATTGCAGCCAGATGTTCCTCCTCCCGCAATCCGGAGGCCAGAGAGTTCCCGGGAGTGGTTTCAGGCTGCTGGGAAATTCACATTTTTAAAAAATAAGGAATGGGAGGATACTTTTCAGAAACTATAAGTTGTTTCTTAATCAATTTTTGTATCATGTATGCATTTGCTTTAAGTTATTGAGGTTTCTCTGACCTAACAGATCTCTTATCCCAATGATATGAGCTTTTGTGTTCTGTAAATAAGAAAGTGTTAATAATACCTAGTGGTTCTAATTGATTTTTCTGAGATAATTTTTCTTGAATTTTATCAATATGTAGCTGTTTCTGTGCATTGCTGATATGGTTTGGAAAGATTCTCCTCTACCTTAAATGGGGGCAAATTCTCTTTAAATTGGATAAAAACTTGTTTCTTTTTCTTGATGAAGTTCAGCCAGGACTTGATCTTTCTTTTGGAGTTTTTGCCCCTCCCTTTTTACCTGAGTGTGTTCGGAATGCAACAAAGTTTTCTTGACTGGAGATTTTTCAAATGATCTTTAAGTGTATGAAAAATTCTAGCTTCTGCAGTTAGGTTTCGTATATTTGCTTTCCAAAAAATACTTATTATTTTTTTTTCCATTACCATTTAGACCCCTACTACCCCCTCCCCACAGCATTCACCACACTATTGTCCACGTCCACGAGCAGTTGTTGTTTTTTCAAGAATTCATCTACTGGTATTAAACTTGGTTACAAAAATCAGCAGCCCTTCAGATTGACCAATTAAGAATTTCCTATTTTCTGGTGCCATCAATATATCTCATTCCTCAGTTCCACAGTCCACATTGTCTTCCCCCGGAATAGCAGCCCAGTGGCTCCTCGGTAGCAGGTGTTCACACACAGGCTCCATCTGATTACTGTTAAGAACTCACCTCCAGGCAGGTTTTCTGACTTTTTTCTCTCTTTAGTAAATTTGCCCACACTTCCTTCCCTTTTTGAGATTCCTATGAAAGCAGCTTTACACCTCTCTGAAAACTGGACCTTTCCTTCAAAGCCTCTGTCTGTGCCGCCTGAAGCTGTTCTGTTTTTCTGAAGGTTTTTGAAGGCTATTTTGGTTGCCGCGACTTGATACTGAGTTTGTTGGAGGTGTCTTCTAACGAGTTAACCTCGCTTGCCATGTCAGCCGATCAGGTGAACTTTAATATATTTAGAATTTTCTTCTTTTCATACTTTCTATAAGCCCAAGTAAAGAATTGTAGCTTTCCAGCTCTTTATTCATGATCTTCACGTTTACTGTGTCTTATGGTAGCTTCTCAAGTTTGGCATCAGTATAGTTGATTTCAGGTCTCCAATTTCTCTTGGAAAGTGGCAAAACTTCTCAACAATTTGTTGTTTTTCTCCTGGAGGGACAGATACTCCAGTGGCCAGTTCTTTGTCTTCCCTCGAGTAGTAACAAAGCCTTTAAACGCAAAAAGATAGTGCCCCCACTCTGACTATAAAAACCAGCATCTCTCACAGTATCCCCGGGGGAGCTAGACCCGGGCGGGGCTCCCGTGGCACAGCCCCCACCTCCTGGGCATGGAGCCTCCGGGATCAGCATCACTCCGAGTATCACGGCATCAGTAGACCCTCTGTGGACCCCAAGGCCACTGATGACTCGTCTCAGGTCGCCATGACCCTGTAGCCATGACAGAGCACATAGTTCTACGTTAAGAATTCTATCCAGAACCTCCAGACTTACGTGTCTGGAAATCAGGGCAGACCTCAGTGCAGGCAGGAGAGGTGACTGGAAAAACAGTGCCTCCCAGCTGTCGCCCCTTCTCGACCCACAAAGTCAGTTGTCGTCAGAGGCCCCGGGGAAGGAGGAGGCCCCGTAGGCAGGAGGGGATGGCCAGGTGCTCTGGGCTTTTCCCAGCTGCTCCGAGAACTAAGCAGGGAAATGTCTTTCCACATCTGGAATTGTTATTTGGGAAGTTTTACTATGGACAATTGGAGGCCCCCAATCCTGGCCACCGAGCCTCTTTTTTCTTCAATACACTTTTCGTTTTGTGGCCGTGGAGTCCTAATCCAGCCCACAGAGATCAGAGGAGACTGACCCAGAGTGTCCCCTTGGCCGATGTCTGGCTGACCTTGAACATGCGGGGAAGGGTGAGAGACAGCGTGACAGGCCCTGGGAAGGGCTCCTACCCACTTCCCTAGTTTCACATTTGACAGCGAAGGAAGAAATGATAGGCATTTTCAAACCCTTCACAACTCAAGACTGTCAGTCTAACCACACGACCCGCTCTGTTCCCCTTTTCCTCTCTGGCCATGCCCGCAGGGCCTGCACGGATCAGAGGGGCTGGTGGCTGACATCTAGCTCTTCAGCAGCTACCTCTTGAGACAGGCAGAACCTCCCTCTTTTAACAACTGAGGCTTGCTCACTTCTTCTTCCATTTTCAGCCACTGTCTGTGTTCATTCGGAGACTAGAATAAGCAGAGTGAAGTCCTGCTGCAATTGTTGCAAAATTCCTCAAGGGAAATGTAGGTAGCGATAGAAATAGAAACCGAGGAAAGGCGCAGGGTGGGATGGGAGAGGGTCCATATTAAGATACGCACTAACCTCTTCAGTGACCTTTGTGCTGTTTCGCTCTGTACGATATGGATAGTCTGATTGGAAGAAGATGCCGCCTCGTTCTCTCTGCCAACAGTAGATGTTCGCTGCTGGGTATCAGTTAGGCAAGGAGCCGTGCATTTCAAGGTGACCTTCAGGGTTTTTTAAAAAATGGTATTATATTTTTCAATTACAGTTTATGTTCAATATTATTTTTATTCATTTCAGGTGTACAGGTGCCCACCTGGCACCATACATAGTTATTACGATATTATTGACTATATCCCTGTGCTGGACTCTGCATCCCGGTGACTGTTTTATAAATACCAATTTGTACTTCTTAACTTTTACCTTTTTCACCCAACCCACCCAGCCCTTTCCCCTCCGGCAATGTTCAGCATGGATGGACTGAGAGGTTATTGTGCTAAATGAAATAAGTCAAGGCCACCTCCAGGTTTTGATCTGGGAAGAGGAAGCCTTTATCCTCCATATGGATAGAGAAGGACTTCCACAAAATCTTACCATATTGCCAAAAGTTATGTAGTTATAACCCTCCTCAGTAAAGTAGTAATTATAGAAAACATTATCCCCCAAATTAAAGGAAGGTAAAACATCACTCCATACTCTTTCGATGATACCTGAGTCATCTCTAAGTAGATGGGTTTTTCTTTTCTACTTATTACTGTACTTATTATAAGGGCTACATGATGCTCTGTAAAGGTAGATGTTAATTTGAAAATAACTTTTGCCCTGTTGAATTAAATTATTTTTGTCTGATGGGGAAAATGGCAAAGTTACTGTTTCATTTACCTGAAAGATCTTAATCT